CAGAAATTTTGCATTTTGAATGTTGCAGTAGAAACCCTTAATTATTGATCGATTAGATTTAATGAAAGCATTTTCCTTAGAAATTTTGAGTTTTGTGAATGAATGGTAAGTTTGAATTGAAATTTCTTAGATGTTCGTAAAAAAATAAAAGCAGTGTATCCTGCAAATGGATTTGTAACTATGTTTTTCAAACAAAATGATGGTGCTATTTATTGAATACCTCAAATTATAGAGTAACTGATAGCAAAAAAAATGTGATCTTTTACAAATCTGTAAATGCTGATATTCTTACTGTGAATTTAGGGAATAAAAGAAAACTTCTTTGGAAAATTTCCAATTAAATCTGTGGATTTTTTTTTAAAGATTTTATTTATTTATTTGAGAGAGAGAGAATGAGAGATAGAGAGCACGAGAGGGAAGAGGGTCAGAGGGAGAAGCAGACTCCCCGCTGAGCAGGGAGCGGATGTGGGACTCGATCCCAGGACTCCAGGATCATGACCTGAGCCAAAGGCAGTCGCTTAACCAACTGAGCCACCCAGGCGCCCTAAATCTGTGGATTTTGGCATAATTATTTCTTTCAACAGTTAAAGTGGCATTGTAATGGTTGGCAAAGCTCCGGGATTAGGCATGGAAGCACAAAGCCATTTTAACAGCACCATTGTGTTTAGCGTGTGGAATACATGACCTCAGTGCTTCTTGGGGTAGGAGGTGGGCAGTATTTGGCAGGGATCTGTTTCTCTCTCTGGCTTGCCTTTCCTTCTTTACCTTTCTTCCTTCCTTTCTCTCTCTCTCTCTCTCTCTTTCTTTAGTTGGGTTATCATTTTAAAGGACCATGAGATAGTAATCCTACAGGGATTATTTTGGAGCACATAAAATTATACTTTGAAGATAATTTTTTAGAAGGGGCTTTTCTGTTTTTAAGGAATAATTTTAAAAAATATTTTGGCTCTGGGAGTTTTAAAAAAATTGTTTCCTTCAAATTCTATTCTTTGTCTTTAGATAGACAGTAATATTGGCCCACCTGATATTTCATATTTTTTACTTTGGTATATACTGTTGGATCTTAAACATTCATAATAAAATGACCTCAACAAATTATTGGTAAGCTGAAAGTCATCTTACCTGTTCCTTCAGTACATGTAGAATCCCACTTAGCTATCTGCCAGTTGGGGAATAATATAGGACAATGTTTTCCCTCCGTGATATGAATATATGGGGCTATTGGAAATCTTCCTGACAGGGTAGGTAGAAAGTATTAGAAATATTAATACTTGGGCACTAAAGGAGGCACTGGGAGGAACACAGGGGTGAGGGAGCCGACAGGTAATTAGACCAGTGTAACAAGTATGTGTTGAAAGCTTAGACAGAGGCATGCATGGGGGATTTCAAGGAGGGCTTTTCAGAGAAGATGATGTGGAGGTGAGTGTTGAAGATCAAGTAGAAGTTGGCTAGAGGAAGAAGTGGGGGGAGGGCATCCCAAGAGGGGAACATGGAATGTGCCAAGACACTGAGCCTGAGAGCGCATGTGCACCCAGAGACTTCCACAAAGGACAGGACTTTTTATCTGCTTTGTTTATGGTTTGGATTTCATGCTAAAGACAATGGGGAGTCATTGAATGATTTAGAGTCTGGAAATGATGTGATGAGACTTATATCACTCTTGAGGATGGATTAAAGTATGCTCAATTTGGATGCAGGGAAATTAATTGGGAAATTATTATAATGGTCCATATGAGCATTGGTGGTACCTGTGGTGGTGATTGAAATAGAGAAGAGAGCTTTTTGCATTTAAGAGATATTAAGAAGGTGGAATCAGCAGGACTTGGTGACCAATTTTGAGAATGAGGACAGAGGAAAATGGAGGATGGATTATTCCCGTGTACTTGGTTTGGCTGACATGTATGGATGCTGATGATGTGTATTATGATTGGGAATAAAGGAGGAAAAACATGGTGGGTAGATGATAATGAGTTGAACTGTAGAGCTTGAGTATGAGACTTTTAGGTGCAGATGACTAAGAGGCTAGTGTGACTTTGGGAATACCTGACTTAGAGTATTTGGTTTACGTCTTTGGAGACCTCTTCTCGGTCTTTCACTTAGTTCTATTTCTCTCAGTGTCCATTAAATATTGGTATTTTCCGGAATCCTTATTCATTACTCTTCTCCACTCCATTTCTACTCGTCTATTCTTTTGGATTTAGCTACCTGGTCCATGAATGTCTGTCAGATTATTATCTCCAGACAGGACTTTTATCCTGAGTTCCAGTTGCTCAGTCTAACTGTATACTTGTCTCCATTGGATATTCTCCAGATATCTATCAATATATCTAATTTGTTCCCTTATCTTCTTCCCCATTTCCTTTACAATGTAGCATAGTCCAATAGTCACATTACCACAGAAACTAGAGTTAGGCTCTCTAGGTTTGAGTCCTAGATCTGTCAGTAGCTTTGTGACTCAGAAAATTATATGATCTTTCTGTATCTCAGCTTCCTCATCTGTGAAGTGAGAATAACAAGAGCACATACCTGAGGATCAAATAAGAATGGTGCCTGGCACACGATAAACACTATATAAATAACAGCTATAACTGGATCTTCCTGTATTGCCTGTTCTGGTTAATGGTACCACTATTCAGCCAGCTAACCAATCCAGAACTGTGAGATTTATCCTGACTTCTCCATATCACTTCATTCCACATCAGAATGATAATTTTGTCCCGTCAGTTGTCCACTCTCTGATGTCTTCTCTCCATCTCTGCCATTACTATTCTGAACTTAATCTTTATTTTCTTTTTCTTCAATGACCCAGACTGGCTAGTGACTAGTCTCCCTGTCTTTTGTCTTTATCTTTTTTTCAACATTCTCTATACAGTCCCCCGGTGCTTTTTCTGAAATGCAAATCTTATCACTTAAAACTCTTTAGTGCCTTTCTGTTCTTATAGGAAGAAAAAAAAGTAAAAGTGAAGGCTTCTGAGGTCTGGTCCTGGCTTTTTCTTCAGACTCTTTTCCACCCCATTCTGACCTTTCTTTAATATTTACAGTTCCTCCATATTCTGTATTACTTTGGTCTTCCATGTCTTTGTACACCCTGATCCCTTTTGGAGGACCTTCTACCTCATGTCTCTCTGAAATAGTTTCTGGCTGTTTCCCCAAGCAGAAAGTTTATTCCCTGACCTATGTCAATATTTCACCTTGTGTGGAGCTTAACCATATGCCAGTCACGCTTGTCATTTGCATACCATTCTCTTCTAAGACTAAGCTTATTTTTGAATGAATCATTTATATGAATTAACTTCTTGGAGAGTATAAGTTATGCTTCTTATCTTTAGTCAAGGGCAGATGGTAAACATTTATTTACTGAACAGATCATCTGGTTACTGATCATTTACATCTATCTTAAAAAACATCTTTGTATTTGCTTTATTTGTTGCTAAGGGAAAAATTTCTTTTAGCTTCATTGAAAGAGCAAGTATGCTTTCCTTTTTTTTAGGCTTCCAAAGGTCAGTCATTTCCTAGTGGACCAGTAATAATATTTCTTGTTACCGAAGTTTCTGGAAGAGCCAGTAAGAAATATTATCAAGATGGTTCTTGGACCATAGTGTGGGAATTATTCTCTACTTTTTGGCAGGAGTCAGGAAACCATGATAGAGCATTGACTTATTGCCTGAAGACCAGCTGTTAAGACTGTGCAGATTAATGCTTTATTGAGGTGGGTCCAGAGAGAAGAAAAGCATTTGAGTTGTAGCTGCTATGTGGCATTGAGAGGGAGGTACTCCTCCTGCCTTAAAATCCAACCATGAATACATAAATAAGACACTCAGGCAATAGAATGGAGTTAATTAGATGATGCTGAGTCTTCAGATTACTCTTCTTATTTTTTACGTTGAAGGTTCATGCAAATGAGAAAAAAATGGAGAAAAATGGCATGCAAATTTTATATTTTTAGATGCATGACCATAAACAGAAATATGTAGTTTATCCAGAGTAATACTAAAGGGATAGTCATTTTTTCTGCATTAATTTAGCAAAGTAATTTTCGCATAAGATGTACATATAGGAGAACCAACCACCTATTGCATAGAAAAGAATAAAATTCAAATGGATGGTTGCATACAATGGCTAATGAATTATTCATGATTATTTGTGTCGGGGCCTTGACTCCCTGTTGGAGGCAGATATAAGGAAACGAGCTTTCCAAACCATTGCGGGGGGTCAACACCAAGGGGTTCAGATGGGGTCTGTGGTTCCTCATCTTTAAATTCCGTTCATGAATGTTAAATTATTGTGTGTAGAGGCTTTTTGTTTTTGTTTTTTTGAGATGAGAGAATACTGCAATATCAGGGAAAACATGCTGTGGCTACAGCAATAGTAATAGTACTACTTTTTCTATGGTGGTTGGGTTTTTAAAAAAAATTTTTTATTGTTATGCTAATCACTATACGTTACATCATTAGTTCTTGATGTAGTGTTCCATGATTCATTGTTTGTGCATAACACCCAGTGCTCCACGCAGACTGTGCCCTCTTTAATACCCATCACCAGGCTAACCCATCCCCCTACCTCCTCCCCTCTAGAACCCTCAGTTTGTTTTTCAGAGTCCATCGTCTCTCATGGTTCGTCTCCCCCTCCGACTTACTCCCCTTCATTCTTCCCCCCCGCTATCTTCTTTTTCTTTCTTTTTTTTTTCTTAACATATGTTGCATTGTTTGTTTCAGAAGTACAGATCTGTGATTCAACAGTCTTGCACAATTCACAGCGCTCACCATAGCACATACCCTACCCAATGTCTATCACCCAGCCACCCCATCAGTGGTTGGGTTTTTAAAAGTTGCCATATATTGCATTTCATTTGATCCATAAGGTTCTTAGTTTAGTAGCAAAAGAAACTAAGATTTAGAGAGAATTTTGTCCATTCAGTGGTGGAGATGGGAAAGCAAGGTTCTCTGGGTTTCATTTGAGGGCTCGCCCTCTAGCTTGCACAACAGCAGTGTGCTGGGCATATGGTTTTCATGCTGCTGGATCATCAGAATGACATGAATCTTCAGGATGTCAGGTTAGTCACTGGCTCTTCAGAAGAGAGAAATTTCTCTCTAGTGCTTTGTTGCACATAGATACTCCTGTTAAGTCAGGAGAGACTTCCAAGTAGCAGGATTTGGTTACCAAATCTTTTGACTTTTGGTGAGAATATATGTGCTGGAAGTAGAACTGGTGAGAGCCATGAAGGGGGCCAGTAAGTGTGAGTTAGTAAGAAGGGGGTTGGGTTCCTGAATCCATTTATTACTTTTAATGCAAAGCTGTTTGCTTAATAAAAAAGTAGAGAAAGAGGTTAGATGTATCTGTGGGCTAACTTTTTAGCCAAACACATGATAATTATTTGTTATTTAAAATGTTTGATACATTATGTTTCACTTTAATAATGTTCAAAGGGATTGTTACTAAATCTACATTATAAATATAAGTCATAAACATGAGTTGAAACAGATCCCAGCATGAAGGTATTAAGTAACTAATCCTCCTTTCTTCCTTCTTCCTTTCCCCCCTTCTTCTCTACCTTTTTTTAATTTTTTAAGAAAGTATTTTATTGATTTCATTAAATGGCATTATTCAGGCATTTAAAATGTGAATATTTCGGTAGCCTGGGTGGCTCAGTTGGTTAAGTGACTGCCTTCAGCTCAGGTCATGATCCTGGAGTCCTGGGATCGAGTCCCACATCGGGTTCCCTGCTCAGCGGGGAGTCTGCTTCTCCCTCTGACCCTCCCCCCTCTCATGTGCTCTCTCTCTCTCTCATTCTCGCTCTCTCAAATAAATAAAATCTTTAAAAAAAATAAAATGTGAATATTTCTCTTCGGCATCTATCTATACATCATAAAATCTCATTCAGAGTTCTCACAGCTCAAACAGATTCCCTCCCACTCTTTGCTGTGGAGTTTGTTTTGTTTTCCCTTTATCCATATTGATTCTCAAGTTAACTTCTTCTTTTTCGTTTTAGACATAGAGTAGATGCTCTCCTTGTTCTGAGTTTTAAGTGATTATTGAAACCATTAAAACTAGCAAATACTCTAATATAGTTTCTGGAGAATATTAAGAGTCTTTAACTATATGTATTTAGATGTTTTCAAAGGAGAGTATCTATCTTTTTTCTGAACTCCAATGTAGTTTATCTGTCCCCTCCTTTAATGGTCTTCTATGTGCATGTCTTTTATCTTCCCATTAGATTTCAAAACTCCAGTGTCTAGTGCTGGATGATGCCCACAGCATCTCCCTAGCACTTCTTAGTTTCTCAGTGAATTTTTTTGATGAATAAATAACATTATTTATTTAAGATGGCATTTTTTGGAGCAATACAAGTCCGTAATTTCACTATTATTTATTTTAGTTGCATACAGTGACTTTCCAAATGAAACTTAGCCCTTGGAATCAAGGAGGAAAGCTTTAATTTAGTTAAGAAGCTGTTCAGTATTATTTCCTCTGTGAGAATTTACACTAGCACTTGCAAAATAAATTGTAGTATGGGGAAATTTTTAAAAATTTTATCTCTGCAACTCTCTATCCTAAAGGATCAGTAGAGCTAAAGGCTTGGGTTCTGCGGCATTCTCACTGGACCTTACCGTTTGTATAAGCTGTTTTCTTTGAAATCTCATTGTGTTGAAGCTCTTTCTACCAAATTTTCTACAAAACTCATAGTATGACCCATGCCATTATCACCCACTGAATTGTTGAGTAATGTATCCTGACTTGAGGTCAGTGGTTCTCAAACCATGGTGAGCATTAGAATCCCTTGGAGCTTGTTAAGAGTAGATACTGCACACCTTCCCCTGGGCATTCTGAATCTGTAGGTTTAGGATGAATCCTGGGCATCTGTGGTTATGACACTTTCTGGTGGTCCTGGAACCATTTTTGAGAAACATTGCCATTGAGCCAAATTTATTTGTGATTTTTAAAATGATGAATCTTCCAAAGTTGTAAGGCATTCTAATTGCATTTAAAAGCTGTGTCATAGGTATGTTAATGAATTTGCACAATCAGTATGATTTATGTGACATTGAAGATGCAATTATAAAATACTTTCTTAGCTGCAGTTTTATTGGTCTAGTGTATATTAACATGCATTTAAAATACAATATTTATTTAAAAAACTCCCTTTTTAAATGAACTCCCACTTACCAGGAATGAGAACAAACAAAACTCAAACTTCAGTGTTTTCTCTGCTGTTAATTTCTACATATGCAATATTTATCTCTACTTATCCTACATTTTTTTTTTAAAGATTTTATTTATTTATTTGACAGAGAAAGACAGAGATAGCAAGTGCAGGAACACAAGCAGGGGGAGAGGGAGAAGCATGCTTCCTGCTGAGCGAGAGCCCGATGTTGGGCTTGATCCCAGGACACTGGGATCATGACCTGAGCTGAAGGCAGATGCTTAACGACTGAGCCACCCAGGCCCCCTACTTATCCTACATTTTATGTATGACTTTTTTTGGAAAAAAACTTCAGGATTTTTAGAAGGCACAATCTAATATGCCTTTAATACCTCTAATAATGGTCCATGTTGACCTTGAAGCTGGACAGAATAATGAATTTTTTAATTACAAAAAGAGTTCAAGGATTAATTTCTGCATCACATGTTTTTTTATAAATGCTGATTCTCTGAAAATAAAGATAAAGTGAAAATACAAAATAATACAGACTTTTATTAATTTCAGCTGAATAAATGAATGAGGGATGTATTCTAGTGAGGTCATTGTGATAATACACATGGATTTTTTTTTTAAAGATTTTATTTATTTATTTAACAGAGAGAGACAGTGAGAGAGGGAACACAAGCAGGGGGAATGGGAGAGGGAGAAGCAGGCTTCCCACTGAGCAGGGAGCCTGATGTGGGGCTTGATCCCAGGACCCTGGGATCATGACCTGAGCCGAAGTCAGATGCTTAATGACTGAGCCACCCAGGGGTCCCAGTACACATGGATTAATATTCAATATAAGGGGCCTTTCCTTTACCCCCCTTTCTTTAACTTTGCAAATGCTTTTTTTATAAGATGGGTCTAACATTCTTTAGACATGTGATGCACTGAAAGGTTGGGAATTAGGAGAATTACAGTGGAACTTGACTTACAGATTTGTAGGTAATCGGAATTACATAAAATGCTTTAATCTATCTTTCTTTTTCTTTTTCTTTTCTTTTTTTTTTTTAGGGACTTTCTCCCTCGAGGGTCGGGCATCATAACCAGACGGCCTCTTGTGCTGCAGCTTGTTACTTCCAAAGCAGGTAATAAATGAGGATGTTTGCCACATGAGCAAAGCACATTCCCATGGTGCCTGTTACCTCCATTCCTGGGTGTTGGGTTGTAGCTACAGAAACTTTTTTTGTGATCCCTCTGCTCTGGGTAGCAGCCTGTATTTCTCTCCAAATGCTCTCTTCTTCATTGTTCTTTTAATTCCTTTGCATATAGATTTTTAAACACCTACTATTTTTTATGCTAAGAAAATATTATTTTTCTCATTGTAATCCATCTATATAATTTTACAGTACAGTTTAACTACATACCCTTCTGGTTTACTTCCCTCCTGCATGTGTGTATGTGTTTCAGAATTTTTTTTAAGTGACAATTCAACATCCATCCAATATCTATATGCAGATTATACGGTGTACGTTTACCTGTATCTACATCTAATGTGTTATGCTTGCCCCTATCCTTAACACCATGATAATTTGATTGGCAAATGAGCTTTGTTTTCATTCTTATTTCTTAGCACCTGGTGATGTTAGATTTTTTGTGTGCTTATTTGGTGTTTATATTGTTTTTATGAATTGGCCATTTTTATCTTTCCCTATTTCTTTTTGTGGATTTTACTATTTTTCTTATTAATTTCTTTGAAAGTACTTATAAAATCCGCACCTCATAAATTGCAAAAACCAAAGTCATGGAATTTTACCCCTATGTTTTCTTCTAAGTATTTTATAATTTTGCTCTTATGTTTAGGTCTTTGATCCATTTTGAGTTAATTTTTGTATATGGTGTGAGGAAAGGGTCCAACTTCGTTCTTTGCATGTGAATATCTGGTTTGTTCCAGCACCATTTGTATGGTTTTGGTACCCTTGTCAAAAATCAGTTGGCTATAAATATATGTGTTTATTTTGAGACTCTCAATTCTTTTCAACTAACCTATATTTCTATATTTGTGCTAGTATTGCATAGTCTTAATTATTCTAACTTTGTAGTAAGTTTTGAAATTAGGAAGTGTGAGAACTGTTTTGTATTTTTCAAGATTATTTTGGCTATCCTGAGTCTCTTGAAATTCTGTATGAATCTTAGAATCAGCTTATTTTATCCCAGCAATGCAAGGTTGGTTTAACACCTAAAAATGAATTAATGTATTGTATCATATCACTATAATTAAAAATAAGAAATCACAGGATCATCTCAACAGACTCAGAAAAAGCATTTGAAAAAATACAACATTCCATCATTTTTAAAAAGATTTATTTATTTGAGAGAGAGAGCACAAGCAGGGGGAGAGGCAGAGGGCGAGGGAGAAACAGACTCCCCGCTGAGCTGGGAGGCTGATGTGGGGCCCCATCCCAGGACCTGGAGATCATGACCTGAGCCCAAGGCAGATGCTTAACCATCTGAGCCACCCAGGCACCCCAGACAATATTCCATCATTATAAAAACACTCAACAAAATAGGAATAGAAGAGAACTTCCTTAACCTGATAAAGGGCATGGACTAAAACCCATGGCTAACGAAACATCATTCTTAATGGTGAAAGACTGCATACTTTCCTTTTAAGATCGGGAACGAGACAAAGATGTCTGCTTTTGCCTCTTCAGTTCAGCATTGTGCTGGAAGTTCTAGGTAGGGCAGTTGGGCAAGAGAAAGAAATAAAAGGCATCCATATTGGAAAGGAAGGAGTAAAATAATCTCTTTTTGCAGATGATATGATAAAGTACATAGAAATTCCTAAGGAATCCACCAAAAAACTATTACAACTAATAAATGAGTTCAGCAAGGTTGCAGGATACAAGATCAATATACAGAAATCAGTTGTATTTCTATAAACTTGCTATGCACAATCAAAAAATGAAATTAAAAAATTAATTTCATTTATAATAGCATCAAACATAGCATACTGCTTAGGACTAAATTTAATAAAAGAAGTGTGAAACTTGTACTCTCAAAATTATGAAACACTGTTGGAAGAAATTAAATTATATCTAAATAATTGGACAAACATCCTATGATTTATATTCTGTTTATAAAAGTTTTGATGTATTGAAGTTTTACCCTTTATGGTTGTAAAATCTCTCTCTGTATATGTATCTTTAACAAAAAGTAAATACTTAGCACAGTTTTCTTCCTTTTCATACTTAAAATTTTTTTAACATTTATTTCCTTATTTATCTGAAATTGATTTTCATGTATGTGAACTATTTTTATTTCCCAATCTCCTTTATCTTCTATTACATTCCTACTGCAATTTATTTCTGAATATCTTTTCTGTTTTATTGTGCCAATAACACAGTGTTTTACTTTTAAAGATTTATTTATTTATTTGAGGTGGGGGGTGGAGGGGTAGATGGAGAAGAGAGTCTTAAGCAGATTCCATGCTGAGTGCAGAGCCCAACGTAGGGCTCGATCTCACAACCCTGAGATCACGATCTGAGCTGAAACCGAGTCAGATGCTTAACCGACTGTGCCACCCAGGCGCCCCCACAGTGTTTTACTTTTGTGGGTTTATAATTTGCTTTAATATCTATCTGTCATGTCTATAGTCCCTCTGCCTTTGCTTATTTTTATTTAGGGGTTCTCTTCTATTTGTGTGGCAAAGTTTAGGATAATTTTGTAAAGACAAAGCTATTGCCCCTAAAATTATATTAAACCTATAGATTCATAGAGAATAATTGATATCGTTAAATATTCATTATTTTTTCCAATCCAGGGATCCTGCTATATCCTTTCATTTGCTCATGTATTCTCTGTATTCCTTACTAAAATGCTTGATGATCTTTATATAATCATTCGTGTGTTTCTAGTTAAGGTATTCATATTTATTTTTTTGTTGTTCTTGTGGTGTGAATAGGGTTTTTTTTCCATTATATTTTCTAACTTCTCATTACAGATCTGTGTTAATGCTGCTATTTTTACTTTTATTTTTTAAATTAACCATCTTCCTCTACATTTGACATTAAAATATTTTTAATTGACTCTCTGGGATATTTTAGTTATTATATAATGATTTCATCAGCATTTCTTAATTTTATTCAATAAATACTTATCCTGAAAATACTGAGATGGCTGAGAAACAAATTGCACTGGATTTTTGGGTGAGTACTGACATGGGAAAAACTCTGTTACATGTTGAGCTTTATTGAGAAGGTACATTATATGCCTTTTATTTATTTATTTATTTATTTATTTGATAGAGAGAGACAGCCAGAGAGGGATCACAAGCAGGGGGAGTGGTAGAGGGAGAAGTAGGCTTCCTGCTGAGCAGAGAGCCCGACCTGGGGCTCGATCCCAGCACTCTGGGATCATTACCTGAGCCGAAGGCACACACTTAACGACTGACCCACTCAGGCGCCCCATATGCCTTTTTCTTATACCCTTTTGTCAACAGTCTCCCAGTCCTGTTACTTCTAAGACCTTGACCATTTTTTCATTAATTAGTGAGAATCATACTTCACACACCACCTCTCTTTTCATGCAAAGTAGACTAGAAATTCTTTCCTCAGGGAAAATTTACTGTTTTTATAACCATTCATGACCCCCAAAAGGCGTTTTTATATTTAAGCCGTCTAGCTGATGCCAGCTGCGAACTATGCTTGTTTATTTATTTATTTTTTCACTCTAATTGAACTGTTCATAGGGCAATCCTATGTATGACTATAGGCTTGGGTTGATAGAGAGTTAACAAATGGCTGAATGAAGCAAGCTGGGATATATGTCACTGCTCATGTAATTTACTTGTGTTTTGGATTCTAAATGGGATCAGTTCCATAAATACTACTTTCTCTTGATAGATTCATTCATTCATCCAGTGCTTATTGAGTGATTCCTGTGTATCAGGCAAATAACCCTGGCAACATGGAGCTTACATTCTAGTTGGGGAGAAACCAACAACCACCAAAAAACAAAACAAAATGAAATAAAACAAACCCCCCAAACCATAGAATGTTAGATGATGAAGAAAGTGAGCATTTGATCCATGCGGCTATTTATGTAGGCAGAGGGAAGTTAGAAGATTCTATGATGGGAACTACTTGTGTGTTTGAAGTATAACAAGGATGCTACTAGGGCTGGAGTGGAGAAAGGAGGGACAATAGAAGATGAGGTAAAGGGAGACAGTGTTGCTCAAACAGTTGCTTGGGGAGGGTCTTGTGAGCCAGGTACCTTGAAAGAGAATATGATAGTATGATGAAGGCCTTAAAGTAGGTGCCACTGAATGTGAGAGAACGAAACAGTAGAGTGGTTCAGGGATTGGATAGTGGGTTAGGATAATTCCTTTACTCGTGAGGAGGATGAAGGGATACCTTTTCTATTGCAACCCCATGGAAAGAAGAAAATGTATGTCTGTGCTTTTAGTGGTAGAGAGTTGTGGGATTCTTCACTTGATGACTTTATTTTCTCCAGGAAGGAGCCAAGATATTTGCTAATAATGATCATTTTATCTTATCTCCATTTGCATGTTATTTCTCTTTAATGTATTCTTACATTGACCAGGACTTCCAGAACCATGTTTTGCTCCAAGTTCTTTTTTTTTTTTTTAAAGATTTTATTTATTTATTCGACAGAGAGAGAGATTGTGAGAGAGGGAACACAAGCAGGGGAGTGGGAGAGGGAGAAGCAGGCTTCCTGCTGAGCAGGGAGGCCAATGTGGGCTCAATCCCAGGACCCTGGGATCATGACCTGAGCTGAAGGCAGATGCTTAACAACTGAGCCACTCAGGAGTCCCTTTGCTCCTAGTTCTGGTGAAAATACCTCTTGTGTTAAATTATGCATATATTATTTATTATTTGTTTTTCCTGGTAAGGAACTTTTTATTCCTAATTTTAAAAATATTTTGAAACCTAATAAATAGAGGGGTGCCTTAAGCGTCTGCCTTCGGCTCAGGTCATGATCCCAGGGTTCTGGGATCAAGCCCTGCGGCTGGCTCCCTGCTCAGCGGGGAGTCTGCTTCTCCCCCTCCTTTCCATTTGTGCTCTCTCTTGCTATCTCTGTCTCTCTCAACTAACTAAATAAAATATAAAAAATCCCTAATAAATAG